AAATAAAAATAGAATAAATTGGAAATCATATTTCTCTCTGCTTCTTCTGAAATCGTCAAAAATGAAAGCAAAGTAAACAACAGACCAAAAGAAACATAAGAAAAACTTTTAAAAATTTGCCTTCATAAGCATACATCTAGCTAAATTATATTTATTTTTAACTATTTTTACAGGATTGTGTAAATTCATAGAAAAAAATTAAATAAAAAAAATACCTTAGTAGCTACCGTTGTATTGCTAATGTATTTCACACTTACATATACATAATAATAATATTAAAAATAAAAATAATAATATGTAATCCAAGAGCTTATTATTTTTGTGTGGGGAAAAAGGGCTTAGGATTTTTGTTTCTCCTTTCCTTTTTTTTTTGTTTGTATTTTTGGGGAACTTAAAAAAAATTAGGATATATGGAGCCTGAACGTATGTACATACATATCGTACATATCGTATACACTAAAAACAAAGTATCACTTTTCTAAAAGTTTATTTGTATTAGTTTAGTTTCTTATATAACAAGCACGGGGAACTGGAATTGTCATAGTAAATGATGTAAGGATTTACGGTTTAATAGAAATAATTAAAACACATATATAAACGATATGGACTCATATATATATATGTCCTAATCTACACTTCTATGAATATCATCTCGGTGGCGAGTTGTTCTCTGGCAAAACGAAAACGAAAAACAAAAACTAAAGAAAAAAAAAAATAATAAAACTCAAATGATATTTATGAAAATAATATCTGTACATACATTTTGAGGTATATAACGTGACCCATCATCAGGTGTACGGTATTCTTAATAAAGCAGTAACGCTATCATGTTACAAAATATCATTAGATATATATATAGATTTATATGTTAGTTGTCATTATTGTGGTTGTTGTTGTTGTTGTTGTTGCTGTTTTTGCTTGTCGATTTGTCACGCCATATTCTAACTAATACGTATCCCTACTAGTCTATACATACGAATTAGGAAGTCTCACGTATTACCCAGATCTTGTTCGATATCTGCTTGTATTTATTTATTGATAGATGCCACACACATCGGAGTAAGAGAGTTACACGATTGCGTCTTATCAAAAAAAAAAAAAAAAAAAAAAAAAAAAAAGCATAATTTACTCTATATAGTATATACATATATATATACATATACATACATATATGCGTGTGTGTGTGTGTGTTTTTTTGTTTTTTTTAACTGAGTTAATTGGCCTGCATAAAAGGATCCATGTCTATATGGTCCCCCTAAGGCATTGGCAATACTTTCCCCTAGTGTACATATGTATATGTTGTCTTGTCTTGTTAAAGCTATATACTCCTTACAGACACAATCTGATATTGGTATAAGCCCAATGGTTTAAATAATACTTCAATATGTATGTACATGGCCAAGACAACGGGTACGTTGTCAAGTGCTTCTGCTTCTACTTTCATATAATGCAATACAATTTACTCGTGTATATATATATATATGTTTCAACAGCCTAAAAAACATACAGTTTTCATATATTCATAATACATCCGGATTCTATCGGAAATCTAACATCTAAATTAGGCTCTTATGTATTTACACAGAAAAATAACTCCAGCCAGACAGAGTTCACATCATTTGACAAGGAAGAAGGGAAAAACTTTTGCAATTTGGAAATGTTTTACATATATACATACATATACATATATGTATACTGAAATAGTTCTATATATATATATATAGGTGTGTATATATTGAAGTAGGTGTTGAAATTTCCGATTTGGACCGATGAAAATATAAAATTTTGAATGCTTTTCGTCGTCATTTCATATTGATAAAAAGTTATTCGTTAAATGCTGACCGTATATCCATTGTGATAATTTTCAGTAGTAGTATTTCTGAAACTATGATAATTTATGAGTACATATACATATCTTCATATATATATATATATATATATATACATAAATATGTAGAGAGATATCACCCGCCACTGAGTTAAGTATTTCAAATTATCACGTTTCATTGAGTGGTTGCAACTGCAATGAGTAAACGCATCATTTTTTGTTTGTTTTCAGTTGTTTTTTTTTTTTTTTAGTTTTAGTTTTAGTTTTTAGTTTAAGATTTAGATTTTTGTTTCATCATTTTCTTAGTTTCATTATTGGTGTGAATCATCTAACTTTAATAAATGGGGGAAATATGTACCAATAATATACGTAATATATGTATATACATATGTTTGCATGTTTAGTGGTAACGTGTCTATGTATGTGAGTGTTCTGTGAGTGTTTGCTTGCTGAGAATGACATGATGAATTTCTTCAAAGTTATAAAATAATTCGTACTTAGTGTTTTAGGAGAAACTTATCATTGAAGCACAAAATTAAGATTTGCAGACAGATTAATGTCATTTTAATCTAACCATATATACTTATATATTATATTCTTAAAAATAAAACTTATAAAAGGTTTCTTTGTGATTTTCTCCTTCAGTAATTCATGGAAATTTGATTACTTATTATTAAAAAAAAAAAAAAATTAATATTATATTTCTATATATATATATATATTGTGTGTATATATATATATATATTATATCAATATATACTGGTGTATATATATATGTTCAACACGCATCAGTTAATCTGGTTATCGATCAGCTGACGCCATTTCCTTGTTCGTGATGACCAACGGAGGATAGTGTATAAATAGTGAAGAGTATTTTACTGCTAGACCTATTGATTCTCGTCATCATCGCCGTCACCGTCATCGTCGTCGTGCTGCTCATCCAGCTGCTGATGCTGCTGCTGCTGTGCGGCTGCGGCGAGTAACGCGGCTTTCTGTACTGCTTGGGCCTGCGCCTGGATCGACGCTTGCATCGAGGGCGCTGACATGGCAATTTTCCCGCTTGTCTTGTACTCGGTCATTTCCTAAACACGAAACGAATATTTAATCATTAGCAATTTATACATCAAATATATGTATATGCGACCGTTGGCACTTACTCGCTCATATCGTGCCTTGTCCCTCTCTGCCATCGACTCGTACTTTTGCTTCACTTCGGGATCGACGTCCGACCATTTGCGGCCCAGCTCTTTGGCAATGTCACCAACACCGTATTCCGGATTAAGAGCCTTCACTTTATTTCTTTCATCATTGCAGAACCAGAAGAACGCAGACCTGCAAATCGAATCAATTGGAGATTAGTTATTGTCCCTTTTAGAAATGGGCATAGATGCCGCATCAATGCCAGATTCGAATTAGTAAATAGTATTAGTATTAGTAATCAATTTTGCTACGAACTCACAATGAACGTTTTGGCGCATTCGGATCCTTGATTTGTTTTCTTTTCTTGCCACGGCCCACGACCGCACCCTTGGGCGGCACATAGTTCTGCATCTCCTGCTCGTACCGTTGCTTGTCTTTTTCAGCCATTTCGTGGAAGCGTTTCTTCTCCTTGTCAACCATCGTCTAGATGAAAGGCAAAACAACTGGTAGACTTCAACTATGCTGTTGATGGGGTTATTGCTTACCTTCCAGCGCTCAGCGCATTTCCTTGAGAACTCAGCGAAGATCACTGTCTCATCGGGATGCTTCTTTTTGTGCTCCTCTCTGCATGTCTGTACAAAGTATGCGTAGGCGGTCATTCGGCCTCTGGGTTTCGCATCAGCTTTGCCCCCTCTAACCATTGGGCTCTGAAATTAATGTGAATATGGATATGAGTATAGATGGTAGATATTATTTCTTATTATTTTAGCAATTTACCCCAGCTGAGTTGATGACATTCTGTTGCTGCTGCTGTTGTTGCATCTGTTGTTGTTGCTGTTGCTGCTGCTGTTGCTGTTGTTGCTGCTGCTGTTGTTGCTGCTGTTGCTGCTGGAGCTGTGCAGCTGTGTTGGCATCAACCTGACCCTGATTGGCAGCCGGATACCACCATTGGGAGCCGGGCACCGCCGCGGCTGCCGCAGCCTGTGCCATATTTAGGCGGTAATCGTAGCCAGTGGTTGCCGCATTCGAGGTGGCAACGACCTGGGCCATTGTTGTGGCTGGATTGGGGAAACTACTGGCCATTTTGTATGTGAATAGCTGTTGGGTGCCAACGTTGGAGGTGGCGTTGGAGCTATTCTGATGTGCCTGCTGTTGATTTTGCTGGACAACCACTTGGTGTTGCTGCAACTGTTGCTGTTGTACTGCAGCCGCTTGTTGTTGTTGCTGCGCAGCCAGTTGCTGCTGATAGTGTTGAATTGTTTGCTAATCAATAGTTTGTTGTTGTGGTTGTTGTTTTTGGTTATGAATGTGTTTAGGTGTTGTGGGTGTATATGTAGGTGTAGATGTGGGTGTTTCAATAAGCACGAGGCCAAAACGCACCAATTGTTGCCAAAATTAATTAAACATCAAACAAGAACAAAGGCAAAGTCAACAACAGTGTCGGCGTCGCACTTATCACCCAATTAGATATAAACAAAAACATTACAAATTTACATTTGGATAGTTGAATAATTTAATCAAATTAATTCATCAAGTTCTCATTTATCGGTATATTAATCAACTTTCAAATTTAAATTAGAATGTTATTATTTAAGCATTTAAGCATGTGCATAACTGACCTAGCGTGCCTCAAGCACACGCATACATACATACATACATATGCATACACAAACACATTCATAGACGTACGTATTTATGTATGTATGTAAGAACGCGTGTACATTCATTCGCAACAATTCAATGAGTGTTTGCAATTAAAATTATATATGGGAGCGCAGCACACACACATACAAAGTTAAAACGTAATAAAAATAAATAAATAAGAAAACAAAGCATTTTTAAAGAGAACACTCAAAGCAGATCTTGCACAGCTTTTGTTGGCATTTGGCGCCAAAAACGATCTCTCATTAGTCGCTGGCGGGTTTCACGCTCAGCAGCACACACATGCATACGCAAGCGTACACATACATAGAGACACCGCCACCGCCACCGACACACACACACACACACACACACACACACACACACACACACACACACACACACACTCATAAACAGGCTTGTACATTCATATAGTCAGCGGTGAAAACGCGCATGAGCATAAGTTCCAAATGGCTGGAGCAGCGAACATCTGCGTTGCATGTTCCAATTCTCAATGATTCCATTCACTTTTTGTCCGTACAAACGCTACGTTTCTTATTGGCAATTAATGCGTGAAAAATGTAAACAAATTGCGACTCTTTTCGTGAGGCAAGGTAGAGCAAAACAAGTTAATTCATACGTAAACACATAAACAATAATAAACTATAGACAATAAATTGCATTGTTTTGTCACAAATATCAGCTGTTCACGTTTTTCTTGTGTTTTGTTTTTCCAAACAAGTCGCGCATATGCAACAACTGAGAATGGTTTTTGAAAAAACGGCAAGTTTTTAATAAAGAGCAGGTTCATTCGGTTCATGAACCAATTTATCGGCTCTTCTTTCATTCTCTCAATGCCAGGGGTGTCTTAACTACTCATGCAAAAAACGGCAACACTGTCAAACATACAAACACATGTACATATTTGATGTACGTATGTATGAACGCGAGAGAGACTCGCTGAGAAAATAAAATATATAATGCTCTTTACAATGTAAAGTTGTTTGTGCACAAATCAACACATAACACATATGTGTGTGTGTACGTATATGCGTACAGAGAACTGACAAAGCATTTCGAGTTTTGTACACATACACAAAAGCACATATAGACATACCAGTTGTAGTTGTCTTAAAACAAGAGACACTATACAAAGAAAAGAATTCACATGGGGAGCAGCACGTATACATATTTATGTACATACATACACATACATGTTTGTATGTACATACATACATAAATTTGTATGTACATACAGACAATTTCAGATTACGCAAGCTTCAATGTTGTGTGCATATTTCAAGTTTTCATACATATGTACATACATGTGTTTGTACATAAATATATACACATTCATAGCCACTATATGTATGTATGTATGTATGTAGAAACAAATACTAACAAACCGTCTTGTTTGTATCTGTTCAACATTCGAAAATCGAGGCACATGTCATTTCCAATTTTATAATGTTAAAGATATGTACATACATATGAACATGCATACACATACATATGTTTTATATTTGTATGCACACAAAAACGCATGTAGCATGCAATTTCGGCTGTTCTAAATTAACAAAATGCATAAGTTAATGCCGAACGAGCAACAAAATAAAATGAAATAAAAATGGCGGCCATAGATGCGCACGCAAAATAAAAATGTTTCTTGTATGCCTATATGTTCGTATGTTTGTATGTATGCTTGTACGAATAGCGTCGTCGTATGGATGCCTGCTTTTAGTTCGTATATTTAGTTTCTTCTGAACTGTCTGTGTACAGTACATATGTACATATACATATGTATGTACATATTTAAATGCTCGTGATGTACATAAAGACAAAAAAACTAACCAAAACTTATGTACATACATACATACATATGTATGTACGTATGCTGCTCGCACACATGTATGCATTGAGATTCCAACTCGGCCATTGTAAAATTTCCATACTCTCTCATGCGTCTCATTTTATATGTATACATCCATGCACACATATGTATATGTACATATGAATATGCTAAAGCGTATATGTTTGTGTGTGCGTCTATGTGTATATTAAAAGTAGTGCGTGTTTGCCAATTTAATTTGTTGTTGGCGGGAAAAAAATCTTTAACTTGCGACAATAAATGATGTAGACACAAAGTGAGCAAAATAGACGATGAACGCCAGAATAGTTTGTGCAAATATATCTCTCTATGTACATATGTATGTACACATGTGCATATATGTATACTAAACATACAAGACTGTAGATTGGTGTGCTTGTGTGTGTATGTATGGGTGTACGTGTGTGTGTGCACTTTAGCTTACCTGTATTTGATGAAAGTGTTCCATGATTTTGGCCGATTACTGTGCGAATGGTTCGTACTGAGGGGGTTGAGGGTGGCGAGGAGTTAGTTTATATATTTTGCAATAGTTTTATATATGTACGTATTTTTCTGCGTTCTTCCTCTTTTGATTTTTTGCACTGCACACAACACAAACTGAATGGCTAAAATAAGTTGAAAGCCAATTGCAACTCGCATTCGTTTATTCCATGTACATATGTACGTTATATTGATTATTATGCAGATATATAAATATATATATAATATATATATATTTATATGTATATACGTATTTATGTATGTACGACGAAGGAACTAACAGAAGCAGAGCCGTCAGACGCCACACGGTAAAGTTTGAAAAAATTTTTGTTACCGATTCTTACGGCGAATCGGCGTAACAGCGAACGGAACGATAAACGTAACGTAACGCGAGTTTGGAGTTTGGTGCTTCTTGTGTTGTTATTGTTTGTTTTTAGTTAGTAAAAAATAAACAAACGACGCCACAAACGCAGCTTTATTGCAGTAAATATGTTTTTGTTGGTATCAATGCGGAAAAGATGAGGTTCGCGCGCCGCTCGCTTGATTGAAAACACACACAGAGAGAGTACCAACAACGAATGCAAAGGCTATTGAATTGAATAGCCGTCTCTGCCTTACTGTGCTTCATAGCCCAGCCTGGCTAGCGCCAGACTTCTGTATGCGTTGAGTGCGCAAGTGTGTGCGTTTGTGTGAGTAACTCTTGTCTGTGTGTGGGAGCGAGAGAGAATGAGGGAGAGAGAGAACAGGCAGCAAACCAGCAAGCAGCCAGCGGCGTGCTCTGCTCTGAGTACAGTTTACTGAGCGCTTTCTCTCCTGGTGCCCAATGAGTGCTGAGTGTGTGAATATGTATGCATGTGTGTGACAGTGTGTGTGTATACACGTGGTGGAGGGAAACAGGCCTTTTAACATTTTTGGCTTGTTACTTTTTATACTAAGGTTCATGCAAACATATGAACACTATATGTATGTATGTATGTATGTACGAGTCTTAAGAAAAATGTACCTACGGTCAACGCATTTACATACATACATACATGCATACATATGTTTGTATGTATGTATATACATACATACATATTTACGTCCCTTTAAAAGTATGTGCATATGTACAAAAAGAAAACGCAATAAATCATCTTAATGTCTAATAAATATTAGTATTTACATACATACATATGTATGTATGTACATACAATGTACATACTATGTACATTTATACGTACTTACTTCCATATGTACATATGTACGTACATATGTATACAGTTGTAAGTAATTATGTACATTTGTATGTACGTGCCTGTGCATACATACATATGTATTTATTTATGCACGTACGTTCAAACGTACATACTTGTCTATATGTATATGCCCATATGTATATGTGTGTACATGTATATATCCCCAGCCCATTCCTACAATACATTCACATTTGTTTGAGTGTATGAGTTTGTTTTTCGCCTTTACACAAACACAAAAGTGCATGTATTTTATTTGATATACACACACAATGATATTCTCGCTACATACACATGTTTCATTTTGCGTTCCTCGTCTGACTGTACTTCCCAACTCTCTCATTTTAAAAAGAGAGAAACATTGTTGGAATAATGCAGCTGTGTGTGAACGTGTTAGTGAGGTCAGAAATACCCAACACACAAATTTTCTTCGATTTTATTTGATCATCACAAGGGTGTTTTTAAATAAATGTACATACATATGTACACGTGAACTTACGTACATACATATGTACATATGTATGTTTCAATGTACATACAATTGTATTTATGTAATAAGTTTTCATCGTATATACATATAGAGTAGAATTATGATGACATAAATTAAAATTTGTATTATATAAATAATATATACAGAAGCTAAATAAAAAAATTATATATATTTAAATAAGAATGCAATTATATTAAATATAGATATATATTCATATACATACATGCATAGATGTGAATTATGCATATGTATGTATAAATATATAAATACTGTACATAAGATTTGAAAAAAAAAGAGTAGCTCAATTCGATAGACGATAAGCTTGTGTGGCAGCCCTTGTTTTATTGCATATTCAAACCGACTAGGGATGGCGCTGATTCACATGCAACATAAATTTTAAATAATTAAATGAACCATGGATTAAAGTTTATACCACATGCATAGCAAAACTGATATACTCATCTTATGTATATTAAATAGCTTTATAGAAAATATATGATATAGGAATAATTTGAGAAAACAATCAAAATCGAGTGAAATGTGAGCTAGTTCAGGCAAATATTTTAATCGGAAACTGGGCAAACATTCAGCCCTGTTTCATTCCATTGTGAATTTGCAACGGTGCGAACGTATGTAATCATATGTTTATATAGTTGTTTGTGCAATTGTATGTTAATATGCATTGTCGGTACTTGATCTGGCATAGTGTTTAATTGCAGAGACTCTTACGTTCAGATATATATACAAAAGATGGCCAACAAATCGCAGATTCCGCTACCATCCGAAGATCTCGACTGGATACAGTTACGTCAGGACTTGGGCCCAGTTGTTGAAGTTGAAACGACAAAGGAACGATTTGTGCGTAAAGTCAAGGAAAATCCATTGGTGCCCATTGGTATGCAATAAATACATATGCTACACTTGCCACTGAGTGTTATATAAACATTGTAAATTTCATAGGCTGTCTGGCGACCACAGCCGCTCTGACCGCTGGCCTCTACAACTTTCGCACCGGCAATCGCAAAATGTCGCAGTTTATGATGCGCACCCGTATCGCCGCCCAAGGATTCACAGTTCTGGCTCTGATCGTCGGCGTAGTGATGACCTATGGCGAGAAGAAATAATTATGATATTGCCCCGCTAGTTACTTACTTTTAAAATGTACATACGTATATGTAGTATAAATTAAACGATTATACTATAGTTCACATACACGCATACCTACATATGTAGCTATAATTGATAATAAGGCATGGAGTGCAGTTATGTTCGTATGTATTGGTCTGATTCTAATTAGAATAAAAATTTGCAATGTTGTCCAATTAGATGTGATTTGGTCAGATTTGGCGCTGCTATGGAATATTATGACCGTAGCGCTGCTTACATACATATATGTATGTGCGGTTTTTTTACATACTTATGTGACTTGTAGATATTATTAAGTAAGCTGCATTTTACCATATATTTTCTTTGCTAAAAATTTGTTTTTATTATTTGTTTTACAGATTTACGTTTATAGCACGCAAAATGTTGTATTTTCTTTATGGGTAGTTGAATAATTGAATACATCCAGAGTGTGTGTATTGGCTGGGTGTGGCTAAGGCGTGATGCAGGGGTTATTTGTTACCCACTTTCGATGGGAGATGTGCGCGCGCATCAAGACTCTCGGAACTTTTGAAAATGCCAATTGTTTTCGGTAGTTAGTTCAAGGTAAGATTTCAACGGTAAAGGACGTTTATTGGATTAAGGTTGGTCAAAGTTGCAATAAATGTTGTTTTTACAAGTGAATTAGTGTTAAAAGCCCACCAGTTCATATAAAGATATACTATATACAAATATCTTAAGCGACTATTGGATATTCAAAAATTTGTTGATATTGAAAAGCAATTTTATTATGCTGGTATTTGGGTCGCACAACAGATATGCATAGGTGTATAACAGATATATGTGGGTAGTGTATATCTGTTATATACATAGCAATTAATATAAAACTAATTGGAATGAACTTTCCCCTCTGGGCAAGGTAAACATTTTTCTTTTTGGTGGGCAAATTATTTTCTAATAAGAAATCAACCCTAACGGTTTGTTATGGCCGTTTTGTGTATGTGTGCAAGTATGTGCACGTATACTCATACACACATACTTACATATGCATACATACATTGGTATTTGCGTAAAGCCAGTCTGGCGTCCCAGGCATACATACATACATACACATGTACATGAATGCAAATGTTTATTATTTACATACATACATATCTATTTATTTTAGGCAAAAATGAATATATTACTTGGCAATTGTGTGGGCAGCTGTGATCAATTGGCCGGCCCGCCGCCCGATTTCATATTATCGATGCCACCGCCGCCGCTGCCATCGTTTCTGATCTCGAAACCAAAGAGCATTGATATATTATTGCCAGCGAATGAGTCGCAGCCCTGCTTTGCGGCATTCATGTGCGGCCAGAATCAACATAATGAGAGCGGCAATGAGCTGATGGAGCTGGTGCGCAGCGATACGAAGAGTATGGAAAATGTTTGGTTTTTCGTCTCGTCCTGCATTGGCATCTTTGTGCTGGGCTGTTTTCTGGCATTGATCGTAATTCGATGCAAAGAGTGAGTTCATTTCAATTTGACTTTAAACAGGGCTGTTTCACACAAATGAAGCCTGAGCGCTTGCAGCCCTGATTAACGTTTACAACGGGACTTTAACTAAATGCATTTGTATTACTTTGCATGCAGCACCTTTTTCTCGTACCACGATGCGAATATCAAGCAAACGGCCATCAATGCCCTGGGTGAAGCAACCAAGTCCAACGCCTTCACATCGGGCGGCATACTCTATCCGTGCGCCACGGCCAATAGTCGAGATCTGCTCCAGAGCCAGCTAGTAAACGACAGCCGTCTGCTGTGGGCCACCCTAACACCGCACGGCACCCGGCATTTCATAATCGAGAACTCACAGGATGGACACTACGAGTCCGTTGACTATCGCGGCAAGGCACACAATCAGGTGTTCCGCGGCTATGCCAAGCAATCCCAATCCTTTGTCAAGGTATGTACATATGTCAAGTGTTTTCTGATTGGAGTCCGAATTGAATTCGTTTCACTCTATTTGTCTAGTCCTTCGATAATAATGGCTTTGTTGATTACGACTATGAGGATCCCACACCCTTGATGGACTCCTACCATGATGACATGGACTCGGGCTATCAGGAGCCGCATGAAGTAACCGGTTCGCTGCGTCGTTCCCCAATGCGTGCGCTCGCCTCGTCGCCGACCACACACGATATCTCGAACATCGCATCGGCCAGCTATAGTGCCAGCCTGGCGCCCAGCAGCCAAGCGGCGCCCAATTCGCTGTCCATCAGCCGTAAGACAACGTTGTCGCGTCGCATCAGCGATGCCTCCTCCCATAATGGGACATCCATGTAATTGGTGGCATCGGCAATAATGTTAATCAAAATGCAATCAAGTTTTTTTGTAAATTAAGCATGAATCTATTGAGCGAAGAGCGAACGGAGAAAGCTGATTCGATGGAACGCCTGTCGTCCAATAAAACAAAACTAAACTCAAACTCAAACTCAAACTCAAACTAAACTCAAACTCAAACTCAACTATTCATACAGTATTCATATACACATATAGAGATACAGTTATGTATGCCATCCTAGCTTAAGAACTCAACTTGTTGTATTACTGCTTATATAGTCATTATGCTAACTAATCCAAATCAAATTCAGCTGCTAAACCAAAAATAGATGTATGCAAAAGAGAAGAGAAGCGAAGAGAGGAGTTGAGAAAAGCAAACGATTGTCCTATCATATTTATATATATATATATATATAATGAATTTAAGTATATAAATATACAATCTCTATAACTAATATACATTAAGTCCGCTGATTCTGTTATGTTTCTCGTTTCTCAATTTGATTTTATTTTACACTTTGCGCTCTTAACAACTTATGTATGTTCCAATACATAGAAAGTATATTTCTTTTGTGTCCCATTTTAAAAATAAATAATTATAAATATATATATATATATAAATATATATATAAATATATAATTTATAGAAAAAAAAAATTTAAATATAAAATAAAAAACAATTTATTGCATTCGCCTTAGCAGCTCAATATGCTCTTGATCCAATCGTGCAGATGCACCTCAATCACATTCACCTGGTTGTAGTTCTTCGAGTGGAACTGATTGAAGGCCGTCGTCAGCTGGATGACCGCCGAGACGAAGTCGCTCAGGCGCAGGGTGCCATCCTTGCGAATGTAGCGCTGAATGAGACAGTTCATGATGTCGGTGCTCAGTTGGAAGCCAATGTCGTAGAGGGCATCGCGTAGCCGCTCCGCGCGCAGAATTCCCGCCTTCTCTTTCGTGTAGATTTTGAAGACGCCCTGCCAGGACTTCAGATTGACCATGAAGGTCTTGAACTGCTGGAATGTGATGCGGCCGCTGCCCGTCTTGTCCTGCAGGGCGATCACCTTGCGGCAAATGTCGATGTTGGCGCATCCCTTGATGTAGTCATTGGGCAGGCAGGCCTCCAGCAGCTCGTGCAGCTCGAAGCAATTGATGGTCTTGTTCTCGTCCGCCAGCTGCATATAGACCGGCTCGTACTGGCAGATGCTCTTGATTTTCTGCACATTGTCGTCGGTCTTGAGCGCCGGAAACGGATCCAGCAGGATCATCGTCTGCGTCTCCAGGCACGACAGCCGAAACGACGATGTGCCCAATATGCGCACCGTGAACTGCGCCTCCTCGGCCGGCTCATACGTGGTGGGCATCAGCACATAGTGACCGATGTCCAGCTGCGTGTGGTAGCTGACGTGCCGTGTGTTGCCATAGTCCGAGTTGAGGAAGCTCACCTGGTTCTTGAAGAAGTCCTTCTGCAGGCACTCGTTCAGGCTGTAGTCCCGATTCCACATGTACATGGTGAACCCAATCACTTTCGGCTCCACGGCCGTGTGCTGATTGAGCGCTATGACAATGTCCTGCTTCTCCTGTATGGAGACCAGCAGCTGTGGATTGATGTGAAACGATTCGTGGTTGCGACAGCCGCCGGCAGTCACGCCGCGCTTCCACTGTCCCTGGTACATCTTCATTTTCCAGTGCAGCGGCCGCCCCTTCAGCATCTGCTCGCCGTTCGCCGTGTCCGAGTCCAAGTAAACGATTTCCAGCGATGTGAACGTGTGCACGAAATCATAAAACGAGATCCAAAACTCGCCCAGCTCCAGTTGGGCCAATAGACGTCCGCGTTCCGTGGACGAGACGCGCTCCCAGGTCTTCGACGTGGGCGACCAGTCCCCGGTGAAATTGGTCTTGTCGCCGAAGGGCTTTGATGAGAATGTGTCCTTGATGCGCACCAATTGCACCGAATCGCCCATGACCGTCTCCACCTTGTCCAAGCAGGAGAGTCTACAATGGATATGTTTTAAATGTATATATATATAGAGAGAGAGAGAGATACTCTGAGAGATCTATGGCCCATATCTCACCTGTAGTTGACATTCAGCAGGATGCCATTGGAGAGCCTCTCCGCCGTGTTCTTCTTTTGCACGGCGGCATTCTTGACCGCAATACAGGTGACAATGCAAGTGGTGGCCAGGTGATCCTTCAGGGTCTGTGGCCTTATGGTATCCGCTATGATGGGCATGCATTTCACTACGCCGCCCAGCAGATCGGTCAGGCCATCGGAGCGTGTGCCGTACTTGAGCGCCTCGTAGGAGCCGTGCAGTTTGGCAATAGCTTTCTCCAGCAGCGATGCCCAGAAACAATTCGACGATTGCGGCTGCATGAACGCAAGTCGTCCATTGATCGTGGGCAGGCGATCGTCGACGAGCACCTCCACCCACTCGCCGCACCACCACAGGCGAAAGCGATAGATGCCCATCGCTTTGTCCAGACTCTGGTCGGCGGGCACAACGCGATAAAATAGATTCCTCAGCGAATAGAGTACGCCCAGGCAGGAGACCAGCCAGCGATCGCCCATCTTGCCAGGCACCACATCAAACTCCGCATTCTCATTGAGAAACGAGGCCTGGGCATTGTTCAGCTCGGCGATGCGCTTCCACTGGAATGTGAATGGGGGCGTTTGATAGTAGAATACCGATGATTGTATTGCTGGGAAATCAGCGTCTTCCCACAATATATTCCTCGCTCTGCAGTCGCTGATAATGCGCTCATATTTGGATGCCATATTACAAATAGATATAGTATTCCATAGGCTATTAGTTAGTTAGTAGTTCGGATCACATCGGTCGATCGATCGATTTCTGGTTTCTTTTATTTGATATTGATCTGTGCAACTTTTGATTTTTGAAGTGAAAGTTAATTTGTGACCTGCTCGCTTGGGTAGGCTAAGTCACTGCCACCTAGTCTAGGCCATTTCTTTCGCTCAGTGTGGCCAGATAGGCGCGACGAAAAAAGCGCTAATCGAAGCTTTGGTTCAATCGGCGCGCATGCGCCCTAAAAAAAAAAACAACAATTCAATAACAAAATAGTAATTTTAATTAAATAAACAAATTTTTAATTTTAATGGACTTTATTGCACTCTAAATGCTACTTATTTTTGTTATTAAAATACGGCAGATGTAATACCGGGATGGCATTCGAGATAATAATAAATCATAAGCACTATGCCTATTATATAAAAAGCATTAATAAAAATGGCAAAATATATTGGAATCCATAATATACAAGCCAGGACATTCTGTAAAAAGCATAGCAGCAAATAAATGATATACTTATACTTTGTGGGTCCATCGGAGACGGGCGTGAATATGAATATATAAACAGCGCCGAATGCCAGACACAAAATGTAGTTGGTTAATGCGGTTTTTGCAAACTTCGGAGTGTCCGCTATGAAGACAACAGTGCCACAAAGCAGCAAATGTAGAAGACAGGCGACAAATGTTTCCATGGGAAATATACTGGCCAAATAGGCAATGCATATGGTGCGCGAAGCTTCAAATAATGATTGAAATATATATAATAAATAAATTGAAATTTATACGTGATTGAAAGTAAACTAACCCGTCAGACAGAGCAGAAACCAGAACTGCACAAAGAGTCCCTTGGTGCCTATATCGTATTTATCCAGCTGCACCAATCGATTCGATCGGTTATAGGCCACCAAACACCAGGCGAGACTGAGAAAATAGACCAAAAATGTGAGCGCGCGTACATCTGAAAGTATCTTGAGATTATATATTTATAAATTTTATACGCTTCAGAGTTCTCAACTACGATATGCTCTATACTTATTACACGTTAAGCTTTTCGTATTTTGCAAAACAATGGCGAGCTGCAGGATTTTCTGCGGAGCCGTTTCCAGGAATGAATCGAAGAGTCGCAGGAAACCAATGTTGCAGTCCTCCTTCAAATACCTGCGGTAGCATCTACAGATATACATATATACATTAATTCGGTTATACACATATATATATATTTAACGTCATACTCGATTTCGGCAAGCTTGTCGCCACGCCTCTTTGCCTCGGTGTATTTCAATGCCCAGTTTAAGGTCGATGCGTCGCGAAATAGGTAGGAAGCCACCAGCCTCCAAAATTGGCGCGTGTGAGCAACGGGTTGTTTGCCTGAGTCGCTAGCAATTAGTCTACGAGTCGAATAAATGAATCATTCAATTGAACATAGATATATGTTGAAATAAAATCCGTAGTTAATCTTACACATGCGCATAGATTAGCGTCGTTATAAACAAGGGTATTACTATGGACATAATTGTCCAGTGGCAGTAGGTGTACGATTCGCTTCTCCAATACTCATAGGCCAGGCAGCAGTTCATTATGATTGTTAAGAAACGCATAAATGCCGAAATGGCCGTCATAACAATGTTGAATGTTGTTATATGATGCGGCAGTGTCGCAGTTTGCATATTCTCCAGAGTTTGCCCATCGACGAATTCCATTTCGAACAGTGAATCTTAGAAGGAGATATCTGCAGATATCTCCCATACGGTTTAACTTGTTAGAACAATCATTTCCAATCACTTGCTGACTATGGCCAGCTTTAGTTGAGATCAATTTGTGGCTTAGTTATGCTCGAAGGTAAGCCAGCTGCGCATTCGAGATGGGACAGCTTGAGTAGCTGATCTATCGAAATACCAGAATTGCGGCTTAGCAAATATAGCCTAAATCTTACCGAAATAAATACTGACATGCATTGTCTAAGGGCAACTGCTGTTGGACTAAATTCAATTTAATGTATTCAGATTGTTTTAGAAAAAAACAAGTTCTTCTACCCACACTTTTACTTTTCAACATTTTTATTTCTTTTTATTCTCACTTTCTTATACATTTCAATTTAAATTTTCAAACAAAGCAATCAAAAAAGAGGTCTAATTCGAGATTTCTTTGAGGTTTCTTCTAATATAATAGAAAGGGGATTGCATTTCGGAGCGAACCTGCTCTACCCATTACAATTGAGTCAGATTCGCATTTCCAGGCACGGGCAATGGTGGCTGTATGTGGCACATATTGTTTCTGAAAATATGTAATACGGACACTACCAAATTGATTGAAGTTTCTGGCAAACAGTTTTTTAAGTGCGACAGAAAGCAGTCTTCATATGAACCCAATTCCTTGCATTCATTCTCTCCAATAACCAAATTATCCTCGTCATCAGAGTTGCTAGCGAGCATCGGATAGCGGCATTCATCTAGATTGTCAAATTGTGATGCAAAGCACGTTTTGGTTGAATCGTCATTAAATACGCGTATAATGTGATCTTCGTTCTGGCATCCAAACGCGAACAGTCTTTCGACTGTAGTAATAAATGTTGCCACCGTTTCCTTGTCCTTCACCGTTAAGCATGGGTGCAATGCCGTCAATAGGTTCGCCAAACAATTTATAGGGACTTTGCGGTTGTCGCAAATGTATTTGAGAATAGAATGTGTCAGTTGAAGTTCAGCATCAGAAGATCTCTTGGGTCTCATTATCATGGACATCACAAAATTCTGGCGACATTTTGTAAACGTTTCTTCAGCTAGGACTATTTGCTGGAGCGCATGTTTGCCATTTTCTTCGCCGGCAACTGTGATGCATATATTACGAAACGTTGGCTCCAAACTAATAGTAGCAGATAGTTCAACGTCGTCCGATTCATCTTGGCTGTCATCTGAATTGATTACCTCCTCCGCTGCGCAAAGTGTCGCTCCCATTAGGATTAGCCAGATCCATATGTATGCCATCAACTTCATTTTCTTATTGAATGTTGTTTAATCTTACACAAACTTTTGTTTTAAAATGCAAAGCTCTTGCTGTGTAGATGATTCAATAAATACTAAAGTAGATCCTAATAAATGGGTACACTTTATAGGTACCTTGAATTTGAAGTCTGATCCGCATGTGCCTGAGATTATCATTATTTGTAATTTTTTTTTTTTTTTTACATTTTTTTTGGCTAGCAATGTTAGCAGTCTTATCGCTGCTATGTCCAATTATATGTACATATGTATATAGCTGCATTTCAAAATATGAGTCTATATTGCCCACGATTAGTCATCAAATTAAAATGAATATTAAAATGCATCAAAATAATAAATAAAATCTCTAGTATGCCAGACTCTTACATTTTTGCATGTACAGGTCGATGTCAAAAAACTCATCGCTTATAATAATAGTCCTCTATATTTTTCTAGGTGCGTATATGTATTTGAATCAAACGGAAAAAGGTCGATTGCAGTGTCTAAGGTGATGTCAATAACAAATAAAAATAAAATGTGCAATCGATAGTCTAAACGATAAGTGATAGCAAACACGTTGAATTATCGTCAAACTTTTTAAATGTCCAAGGCTTGACGAGCTGTTTGCCGCCCATTTGCAAGAAATTACTTTATTCGTTTTGTTACTTGATATTTATTTTTGAAATACACATTTAAAAAAATAATAAAACTTGTGTTCTTCAGCGGAAATTAAATCGCTGAGAACGTTTGTTAAGTTTTACTTGTATAGTTGTCTTTTTTTTTTTTTTCTTCCAATTTTTGTTTCTTTTTATTTCCAATTCTTCCAATTATGTATTTCCATTTATACGCCAAGTCTTTACAAACTTTCAACCTTTACCTCTATATAAATATATTGGTTTTTTATATGTTTATGAGATTTCCTTGATTTTCAATATGTAGTAAATATTCAATATTTGATATAAAAGCATAAAATAATAATAATAAAGCATGTTCATAATACATATTGTGAAGAATATACATATTCTTTAAGTTCGTTCGATTGCATTTTGTGGAAAAACTATTTCTTATTCGTCGAAATATGTATAAGAAATCTCAATTGACACCTCATTATTTTTGCTTTTGTTTCCATTCCATTTTTTTGTTGTTCTTGTTTTTGGCAAGCAAGCAAGCATATTTTTTTTTTCTTAAATATAGAAGCATGCACCATTCATTCCATTACAAATTGGAATGAAAAGAAGAGAAATTACTTAAAATAGGAGAACTTAAAGAGAATAACGAGCATGATTGAAAAGATGAGTATGTTATTTATATGAGTAACATGGGCAAATGCATTAGCTCCCCCAGTCAATGCCATCTGATTGTAGTTGCGGCATAGAGTTTCGTTCCTTATAAAATTGAACATCGACTCTATTAGATTGGCCGGTGTGATTTTCGAGCAGTGTTCCAGGTGACGCACAACGCAGTTCTCAAATGTGATTATGTCGCCGCATTGTTTCTCCTCGACAACTAGTTTGGGTATTGTTTTGATTTTGTTGTTGCCCTGCATGTCGATCTCATCGAAATAGGTTGAGAAGGTGCTATTGAAGCACTGGTGAATATTGTCCTTTTGTGATTCGAGGCATTCGAAGCCTTCTTCGGCAATGAATAATGCTATCTGATCGCCATCCTTGTGACATACAAAGTTTAACAGACTTTTCACGATATGTTTGATCACATCCAGGCTCTCCAGCTCCTTCTTATCCAGACACGGCACCAGCTTGTTCGTGAAGGCATCAACGCATTCTGTCGCATTCGAGCGCTTCGCACAGTACTTATTGAAGACGACGTCCAGTTCGCCCTGAGGACTCGCCTCCTGAATTTCCTTCTGCATTGTCGTATAGTTGACAATGTTGTTCATGCATTCGCTAAGTGTTAAGAAGCCAGTCTCTATATCGGCGTACGCCTGTTCGCCATTTTTTTCGCCGGAAACCTCGATGCACTTCTTGCGAAAAGCTTCCTTTGCTTGATTGAAGCTGCTGTTTTTTAACAAATCCTCTGGAATTTGGCTTTGCATGTCGAGCTTATCCAGATTCAATTCTGCCTGAGCCTCTAGGCTGACGAATACGATTAGGATTGACCAGATCCATGCTTGCGTTGGCAGCTGCATCCTGTTTACTTGATTCTCAACAATTCTTACTCAACTTTGAATATTCCAATTGTAAATGCTTTGCTTCACCGCTGATGATCCAACAGGCAACACCGTAGCTCCCTTTAAAAATCAAGGTACTGTTTTAGTAATTAGTTGTAAATTGCCATCACATATGCATATTATGTGTACTTGTACTTTGAAATCCGAACCGTATGTGTGGATTGTTATAATTAATTTGTCATTGTGTTTATGTTCACTATGCCCACATTTGCTTAAGACAATCTATCGAAAATGATGGAATAGAACAAGAATTGCTCATGTCTTACCCGCGATAAAAAAAAGAGTGTTCATCTGAGCTAGTTATCTGATTTGGGTAAAATATGATAAGGAAACTTATCTCAGTTATTGATACATTTTTATTTGCAAGTAAATTACGATTTTTTGTTTATTTTTTAACTACGTTCTTATTTTAATATGGCTTTAGATAAAAAAATACAGATACTGCAAATTGTCTCATTTGATAGCAACGGTCTGCGAATTTTAAACTTTCGATAAATGATTCGATATTATGCAAATTTGCAAAAATTGCATCACTAGATTCAGGTAAAAGCGGGAAATCGTGCATAGCTTCAAAAGACTTTCGCCAAGTTTATTGTATACTTCAGATAAAATGTGTGATATTGGAAATCTAATTGATTTAACGGGCTGGGATGAGCCTGTTAAAGAAGAGACGGTCGTAGAAGATGCGCCAATTCAATCGAACAGCTTTAAAGGACCATACGACCCATTCGATTCAGTGGAAAAAGAAGCCTGCATCAAGGTGTGTATGCGCATGCACACAGACACTCTCTCTCTCACACACAGAGATTTATAACAGGATGACAAGCCATTTTTCAAAATCTCTTCTATTTAGGGCGAACACTTTAAGAATGATATCCAAAGCACACCAACTACACCAGCTGAGGGCCAGCTCGTTAACAATGAGTCTTCGCCATTAACCACAGAATCTGAGCCGAGCAATTCAGATATAATTAGTAGCTCTACAGTTAGCAATGAATCGCGTCACCGCAGTCTACAGCAGCTTGCCAAGCTGAATGCAACCAGGCTATCAAATATGAACACACCAACGAGCAATTTTTTGGTAAATGTTGCAACAAGTGGGAATAGCTCGTACTTTAACAGCTGCTTTCTGACCGAGAATCTGCAAATGATTGCAGCTGAGTCGCCAGTTAAGCTCATAGAAGATGAGCCCAATCCCATTCCAACCACGATGCCATCTGTCGATCTGCCTGACTATACCTGTTCCAATACCGAGTTCGAAGTACGCCTAAAGCAGATGCGCATTGCCATGTTGGGCTCGCCAGCTAAGTCCGCTGCAACAGACCCTCTCCCTCTCCCAGCTCAGATAACGCCAAATGCTCACAATACTCCAGCAGAGATTGAAGCGCTGTGGCAAGAGCTGAAATTTCTGGTTTATGCACACGTTGAGCTCTCCAAGAGGGAGCAATTCAATGCGGTAATTGAATCGCTACGCAGAGCCATCCACGCGACCAATCGCCCAGCCTCAGAAGATGTCAGCCAGGTGCCTAAAGAATCGCCAATTCTATATACACGTCAAGGAACCTTCGATTTAGATCTAGAGCAACAGGTATATCCAATCTGACTTCAATTGATGCACTGCATCCAATTTAATATATTTTGTTCCATGTCCATCTATAGCGAATGAAAGCAGATGCTGCGGATCATTTGAAGGCCAATGGAAATATACAAGAGTTTCCCGATGTGATGACGTGCTCGTCGGCCACATACGATGCGGAGTCGGCTGATAAGCCAATGAGTCCGATTCGAGAAACCGAATTCAAGAAAACACCCGATTCGTATGTGACCGAAGTGGTTAACGACGACAATCTAGCTCAGCAAATCAATCAGCTACTGGAACGACACAATCTAACCAAGCAGCAGGTCAATGACAATGAGCCACAGCATCACGAGTCGGAAACGAATCAGCACTCGTCTGGCCAAACGGTTATCTTGGTGGTTAACTCCACGGCCGGCAGTCAATTGCCCAACTGCATAGTGCATCCGTCTTCGGCCAGAGTGTCCAACGCGGCTGCCAAAACTGAGAACGATAACACGCTGCGTCGACGCTCATCATCACTGTCCATTCACGACAAGGCCAAGCAGGAGCGCTCGAAGTCGATAGTTAAGCAATCATCTGCCGAAGGCAACGGCAACAGCAACAGTCACGTGATGCCTCTGAAGGAACTATCGACTGTGGGCGATAAATTCAATGCCATGTCGAACTTTAGACAGCGTCGCAACTCCTTTTCAATCGCTTCAATAGGCGGTGGCAAGGGCACTGCGCCTGCTCCCGCCGCCAGCCAGGGCAGAGGCCACATGGTTGGCCGCACCAAGGTGACGGCCATGAACGAATCGGTTATGAAACTGAATGCGACCTCAAAGGCGAACAGCAAGCCGGTTAAACGGGTTGTGCCCATGGTGAAGCCATCGCTGGAGCTGACTGATGTAACGCACCTGAATTCAACGACGCCCCGCTGCAATGTCCAGGACACGCCTCTGACGACCAAAGGCAAGCAGGCCAGTAAATTATTCTGCACCAGCACACCGATGCCACAGATGCGACCGCTACAGCGCCGCTCCCTGAGGCCAGTGAGCAGCTATGCTAACACCTCCTGCGCCACCACCTCCACGCTGCGATCCGCCAACTACTCTAAGAAAGCTGCCCAATGAATTGCCAGCCGAATTGTGATGTCTCTTGATAGAAATGATTTTGTTTTCAAGTTTAGTTAGAGTTAAGAATAAGAAAAATTAGATTAAGAATCCGTCCGTTTCTTTTTGGTTTACATAATGTATACGATTGGCAGAAAGAGGCATGGCCAAACCAAGACTAACTATAGCACTATATACATTCGATTCTGGATAAGAACGACGGGAGACTTGAACCGTCCGTCTGTCTTGATTCATTCCTACATATTCATAAGGCAAACGAATAAATATATAAAACAAAATAAAATTTGTAATTCAGATTGAGTGATTTTATTTGTTGTTGTTGATCTTGTTCTTCAAGATGCTGAGGTGTGTCAGGCAGTTGTCGCGGTACGCACGTCGCTCCACCAGCTTGTCCAGGGGCACCATTTCGTTCAGCTGCTTGGCTATCTCGACGGCCGTGGGTCCCTCCATTTTGGGTGTTTCGCCCATGGTTTGGCTGACGGCATATATCGTCTTCGAGTAGCGCTCAAAGTAGTTCTCCATGCCCTCCGCATTCAGATGCGCCGTCTCCAGCGGACCCAGGAAGGCGTAACGCATGCCCAGGCCATCGCTCATCACGCTATCAATATCTTTGACATTGAGAATGCCCGCCTCGACCAGACGCCACGTTTCGTTTAGAATCGCATACTGAATGCGATTAAGGGCGAAGCCCTCAATCTCGCGAGATAGTGTGACGGGCTTCTGGCCGATTTCGTCCATCAGCTCGCGCGTCTTTTGCACCACCTCGGGTTTAGTCCATGGCGCCGGCACAATTTCCACCAGCGGCACGTAGTAGGGCGGATTGACTGGATGGGAGACAACCGTCTAGAAATGGAAATAAATCAATCCAAGATAAGACCCAAATATATGTGAAGATAACGTCTATATCTATAATCTCTGACCGACTTACGTTCTGTTTGTGCTTCAGGTTGGCGGTGAACAGGGAGGGCAGGAATGTGCTGGTGGAACTGGACAGGATTGTGTTGTCCTCGACCACATCGTCGAGTTTCTTGAACAGCTCCTGCTTCCAGTCCAGCTTCTCTGGGATGCACTCCTGTATAAAGATGGCGCCCTTGACCAATTCCTTGATGTCATTAGTGCCCGAAATGCAGCTAAATTGTTGAGCCGCATTCAATTTGCCACGCAGCAAACCCTTCGCCTCCAGATCGACCAGCTCCTTTTGCGTGGCCTTCAATGCGCCCTGCACTTGCTCCGGCAGGATGTCATAGAGCATCACCTGGTAGCCCACCGAGGCGAACAGCATGGACCACGAACGTCCAATCAGGCCGCTAGAGTAGAGCAAATACAGTTATATTTTAAGTTCATATTCCTATGGATTCATATGTATATCCTACCTGCCGACGATTCCTATTTTGGCCATTTTTTTTAAATCTGACATTTTGCTGGTCTACTTTATTTATTTTTTGTTCACTCTTAATTCTCAGTGCGCTGCCAGAAGGAACACGACTTCTACATTAGGCGTACTGCAGGCGTTTGAACACTTTTGGTGGAGTACAACCGGTTTAATACCACTTATTTAGCGATAACAATAAAAGGTGAACGCGACCTACATACACATGTACATACATACATTTGTTTGTATGTTTGTATGTGCACGAAGTGTGATGTGTTGTGTTGTCTAATTGGGTGCTGGGGTGTTGCTGATTCCAGTGCAGATAATGGAATGGCTACCAACAACTTAGCTACATATAAATGTTCACACACACACACACACACACACACATACACATATGCGCATGCATATGTATGCATGTACATAGTTTTATTGCTGGCAACGCACGAAGGAAAAGGAATCAGCTGTGGCAGAGCGAGAGAGACTGAGAGCAGTAAATCAAAACAATCATCCCGCTAGAAAAGTTGCTGCCAGCTTGGATTAATTGAATTTGTAAAGTGTTTGAATTTATATCATGCACGTATTACGTGCATGTGTCACGCATAACCGGTTACAGCCCGAATGATTTTCAATCAAAAGAATTTCATATCACAAGTGCGTATAGATGTCATTGAAATTTTATTGTTGCCCAATTCGCTACAGGGTGTTTGTGCTCTGCTTAGCTCATTTCATAAATTTACTCAAAATGCCCTTAATTTGACTTTTAATATGAATTCACTTTTATAATGTTTACGGGGAGTCGGTCGTATCTATGGGACACAAACATATACATATGCATATGTACATATATGAAGGAAAATAATAATAACTACCGTCAGAGATAAAGATGAGTGTTTGAATTATAAAATGAATGTGCAAAACCATTTATATTTGTATGTATGTATGTTTGTATGCATGTGTGTGTGCATTTGCCGCCTCGCTTGCACATAGTCAATACAATTGCAGCAGATAGCACTTACCTCACTTAAGGATATTCCACACTATCTAAAACACACATTCTATTTATAATTACTACTAACTATAAGGCTAACCATATCTGTACGATTATAAAATAGTAAAAAACTGCATCTTTCGAATGTTGTATGTATGTATATGAGAGGCGTGCCGAGTCGACGCATTTATTAATTCACTTTCGAAGCAAAACAAATTTATATATTTTTATGGATTGTGTTGTTCAATATCTGAGGCCTCAGATAAGTTGTGTTTATACAATACATAGATGTATGTTTAAGGATGTGTGTGGATGTGTGTATCCTTGTCTGTTTGTGTAGATGTGGCGGCGTTTCTTTGTCTGTGTGTGTGTGTGTGTGTGTTCCCTTGTCTGTGAGTGTGAGCGTGTTTATTTTTCATTGTGTGTGTGTGGGTGAGGACATATGTATGTGGTTTTTTTTGTGAATGTGTGTGAGTGTATGTGTTTCTCGATGTGCATGTTTATGTGTCCTCTGTCTATGTGTGTGTGTATATATGTATGCAAGTGTCGTTAATTAGATTTAATTTGCTTGAGACATTGTGACAAAAGCGTATCACAGGACAACAGCGACTTATATTTCTTGTGCAGGAGAGTATTCCAATTGGCAGATGTTGATGCTGATAAATTTGTCTACGGTACTTGAGGAACCCATTATAATTACTTAAGTCTGTCAGCGGTTGTCAAATGTATGTTCATGTTTCTGCAAGTTGAATATGGATATTTTTGTTAAGCTAAATTGAAATAGAAATTATTTACATACATACATACATGTATAGAAAGGCGTTGTTATATATATAAATACATATACATATAAATATACATATATATATCTTCAATCCTTGTGTCGAGTGTCTTTGTATGATCTTGTATGTATTTGTATTGTTGCCTTATACTTAAAGCGCCATTTTACGGCCCTCTATTGAGATTTCGACGGCACGTCGACTCTCCTTCGAGCGTTTTGAATCCAAGAAGCGTTTCATGTGCTTCTCATAGCGATTGGGCTTGCGTTTCGAGGACTGCGGGGAAATATTTATGTGTGTTAATTGAAAATGACAAAAATTTTGGCCAGATTGTTAACTGTGGCTTACCGAAACTTCGCCTTCGACGGTTGACTTGGGGCGAATAACGTAATCTTTGTTGGATGGCATTGGTACACGGGCGCGAGCCACCCAGCCGGGATCGCCAGGACGCAGCAGTTTGTCATCATTGGAGAAAGTCGGATTTAGCGATGGCGGATTGCTGCTTGATGCAGGCGCAGGCTCTGGGGTCTTATGACGAGTGCGTGACATTTGCGCCAAATCGCGCTCCTGACGCTCCTCCTTGCTCATTGCTGAGAAATCACAGCTCAGATTGAAGATGGGACGGGCCCATTCCGATATCAAGCGACCAGCCCGATCTCGATTTGTCTTTGTCTCTTGTGGATGTTTGTACAAATACATGACGGCTTTTCCGATGCCCGATTGCTTTAAATATGACTTGTCTATGGTTGGAAACTGATGAGGGAAAGAGAGAAACAGAGAGAGAGATAGTTATATGTATTGTATGATGGAAAGTAATTCAATTCATACTTACATCGGATAGCAGACGCAATATGCTTTCGCGAATTTGCAGACAGGGCAGACTTTTATTTGGCAACGGTGCTAGCCAATCTGTAAGTACATTGAGTATGTTGTGCTCCAAGAAGGCCAATTGCAGATCCTTCTTAATTAGCTGAGACATCACTTGTTTGAGCATTGAAATCTTCTTAGTTGCCGGCTTGCCGGCCAAATTAAGCTGGCGATCATCGTCTGAGGCGTTCTTCATATTGATTATCAATTGATCGATCAGATCATCATTATCATTTATCAAATCGATATCGCGCTTGCGTCGTCGCACACGTTTCTCCTCCTTCTTGCGCATCAGCATTGCATCGAAATCGGATATGAAATTGCTGTTTCTAAATACATTCAAGAGATATATATTAAATATATGTATGCATATTCACTGCCCGTATTTGATTTCCTTACTCTGGCTCGTTTGAAATGGGCGTATTCTCGTCATCCGAACTTTCAACGATTTTAGCCTGTGACTTTTCAGCCATATTGTCATCAGCGTCCTTCTTCCTGTCCTCATCCTCGTCCTCGTTGTCTGTGTCGGTGATTTTTGCCCGTTTCTTGTGTAGCTTTGGTACGTCATCTGTGTTCGGATGGACATGATATAATGACGATTCCAATATATTTGTATATTTGTATTTGTATATATATGCAGCTTACCTTCAGAGTCGCTGGTGATAACACGTTTCCGATTCAGTGCATCCTGAGATGTGATCGAGTCGGCAGGACTATTTGAGCGCGAGCGATGGTCAGATTTCCTTTTTGATTTGCTGCGACTGTGTGAGGATTCTGCACTTTTGGATCGACTGCGCGAACGAGCGGAGCCAGCACGTGAGTCCTTGGAGCCGCTGCGTGAGCGTGTGCCGCTACGTGAGCGCCTGGAACCAGAGCCACTGCGGGATCGTCTGGAGCCGCTACGTGAACGTCTTGATCCACTGCGAGAACGAGATCCACTACGCGAACGTCTAGATCCACTACGCGAACGCCTCGATCCGCTACGTGAGCGCGCTGAGCCACTACGTGAGCGGGCAGATCCACTACGTGATCGTCTGGATCCGCTACGTGAACGCCTTGATCCACTACGTGAGCGTCTTGATCCAGATCCACTACGCGAGCGTCTAGATCCAGATCCACTACGCGAGCGTCTAGATCCCGATCCACTACGCGAGCGTCTAGATCCAGATCCACTACGAGAACGTCTCGAGCCACTGCGAGAGCGCCTTGATCCGCTACGTGAGCGCGCAGATCCGCTACGTGAGCGTGCAGATCCACTACGTGAGCGCGCAGATCCACTGCGTGAACGCTTGGATCCCGATCCACTACGGGAGCGTCTGGATCCACTACGAGAGCGTCTAGATCCACTGCGAGAGCGTCTAGATCCACTTCGTGAGCGTGAGCGTCCCTCAGAGCCGCTGCGTGAACGCTTCGATTCACTGCGTGAACGTCTGGAGCCACTGCGAGAGCGAGTACCACTTCGTGAACGAGCAGATCCACTGCGCGAGCGTCTAGATCCAGATCCGCTGCGCGAGCGTTGAGATCCGCTTCGAGAGCGATGGGGCGACCCGCTGCCTGATCGACTACGAGAGCGTCGAGAGCTGTCAATAGCACTGCCGCTGCGGCTGCGTGACTTTCGAGTGGCACTTGGTGAACGACTACCTATTGGTGCAGTTTCCGGCTTTTCCTGCACTGGCTCGCTAGGAGGAGCGGCGGTTGATTCCTCCACAGAACACGTTGAATCGACTTCATTGTCTTGAATGGTTTTTGGGTCTGTGGGCAAGGCTGCGACTGCGTCCGTGACTTTGCCGCCGTCCGGCTCTTTGTTGAACGCTTCGCCTAGAACACAAAATGTGGACGCATAAGCACGCTAACGCTGTTTATCCACCATTTTTTTGTACCATACCTTTTTCAGCCTCCATATCCATTCTTGAAAGTATTTAGAAAATTTGGTACATGTGATATTCAACAATTTAGTTTTTTTATGGTGCACGCCGATAATTAATTTCCGAAAATAACACTAAGAATAATACTTATCAACTCTCTAAAAAAAGTTATGAGCATACACACATTTGTAGATGTATGTAGGTACAATTCGATTAATTTGACATTCAGACAGCTATCGAAACAAAATGAAACTGAAACATTAAATGTTCGATATATTTTGACGTGCACATGTACGATACTGAGTTGTTGAACTGGATCCAGCTCAAACTTAATTTTTGTTTATTCCAGCTACATGGCATGATATAAATGTTAAATCATTTATACAAATTTAAAATTTTACAAACATTCAATAAATATTTTTTAAAGCAATAAAATATTGTTTTATTTTCATATAAATGTATGAAATACTCAATTTGTATTGGAAACAATTTTACATTAACTTAAAATTTCATTAGTATTCTTACAATTCGATTTACGTTATAAACAGGATAACATACATATAACCGGATAGATTCCATAATAGGAGATGAATTTCTAAAATTATCAGCACTAAAAACTAAAACTTGAAGTTGAAAAAAATATGGTTAGCCTAATATCGAGAGCGTTGATTGTTTAAGGCGCAGAAATAAAGAACAAATAAGTCTTATCCGCATAGACGTATCAGCAATATTCCTCTCAAATGATGAGTTTATGAATATTGCGTCATAAGCGCAAAAAAATTGCGAGATCTAACACAGATATGGACCATTCACTATTTGCTTTAAGACTACGTTGAGGTCAGCGGCGACTGAGACTGGCTCTAAGTCGCCGCTTTTATCCTCATCCACCTCCCATTGAACAGGTTGAGCAGTCCATGGTCTGCTGTATCCGTCCAATGCGTCTATTGGGCCTTAGACCACCTCCGCCACCTCCGCCTCCACCTCCGCCACCACCTCCTCCTCCACCGCCCCAGCCACCATTACGGCGTCCAGTGTTGCGGTTATTGCCATTGCCCCCGCTGAAAGGTGCGAGTAGGGTCTGAACACTGCAGGATAAGGCAATTGACAGTTTTAGAGCGCATATGTTTTACGCCAGCATCCAGCCAGTACTTACAATTGCACTAAAATATACCAAAGTCCTACAAATATCTCGATAATACGTTCCAAATTCCAAGGACGCTTCTCCCACACACGACCATCTGAAATCATAAATTATTATTTAATTATTATTTAAATACAACCTACATATGTATATACTATACTTACTCCGGTCTATGTAAACCATGTTGCTATCGTCTCAACATAAAAAAATATTGTGTTTATTTATTATTTTAGTTAATTTTGGAGACCATGACGTGTCTAAGGCTAAAAAGCTATAATGATATCGGTAAATCGATATTTATGAAATGTTATTAAGGGCATTCCTCAATATTCGCGATATGCCTATAAAAATAGTTCGAATATTAAAAAAAAAAAACTGCAAAAGCAATTGTTTTACAATAAATATTTGCCTAAAAATATAATTTTCTTTTCAATCAAGTGAAAGCAAAGATATGTATTTTATTAGGGAGTATCACTGATTGTGAAATGTTTGTTGACATAATGCGATGAGTTGACTCTAGTGATATACTATCGATATCTTCGATAGTTCGTCGGCTAATGTCAAGTGCGAAGAAATACAAGTTTGTAATTTAACCATAACAAAACGGCAAAGACGCTCATCCGTCTGTTGTCTGTTGCTGCTGTTGATAATAGCTGCGATAAGACAGCCGACAGAGTTAATAATCCCGCATAGGAAGACAGAAGAAAGCATCGTGGAGCTGACACTGGCTATAATCACGGTCAGCTGCTACCTGAGGCCAAGGTGAGTTCGACTAGACCGCAATTGGATGCACACTTACTACTAATCCATGTCTCTAACCGAGTTTGCAGCCACCCGAGCTCATCACAGACTAACAACGTCGTCATCTGACTTCTTAATCATTAGCCAAATTGGCGACAGCTGACAAATATGCTTAGAATTTCAATCTGTTGTGTTTAGTTATGGTTGACCTCCCACGCGCTTCTCAAAATACCCCGCAATGAAGAGGCATTGTCGGCTATAGATAGAGACATAGTGTTGTTGATTTCAATAATATTATTGAACTATTTACATACATACATACATATATTGACAGACACATGATTAACCTGCGTATATTGCAAGCCGGCTGGATTGTCTCAGCAGTGCAAGATCTGACCTAAAGCAACAAAAATAGAAACTGCAGCGACCGTAACTACACACACATACACTCACACGCCCACACACACGTGTATGCGTCTTTGCTTTTAGCAATTGGATGAATTTGATTTACATATTTATTTTTGTGGCATATAGTTTGACGCATTGTTAACAAACACTGGCTGCATGCCGCACGTAAATATTTATTTCTATGTGTATGTGTGTGTGTGTGTGTGTGTGTGTATTTGTGTGTAATAAAGCGGGGTTCATTTTGGACGTTATTCAAATTTGCACTTTGATTTTGCAACACAAATCATTTACATTTCAACTTGACCTTTGCGGTTATACAAATATACATACATACACACGTCTATATTTGGTGTGTGTGCATACATACATATTGATTCGAATTAATTCAAGTGTGCGTGCGTGTGCGCGCCTTCCATATGTGTATCGGTTACACCTCGCTGCACGCTGTCGCTGCCTTTTTGGCAATCAAATCTTGTTGTTGTTGTTGCTGCTGTTGTTCTAGCTGCTGTTTTGTTCTAGTTGCTGTTCTGCGTGGACCGTAGACCGCTGCCGCATTGCCTGAGTTTGGTCAGTAATCGTCAAACAACGCGCGCGTACGCATTTTTCCAGCTCGATACGTTTTATTTTATTTTTTTTTGCTTTTATTTAGCCGTTTATTAGCTGACATCATTTAGCCATTGGTCAGACTTGCTCTAGCTCTCTCTCGCTCTTGCTCTCTATATTTCTTTCTCTTCGGCTCACTGTTACTGCGTGTGTGTGTGTGTGTGTGAGTGCGTTAACAATTTGTTTATTAAAGCTCCTGCTAACCAACGGTCTCTTTGTTCTTTTGCTTTTCGTTCTCTTTGTTGGCCTTCCAGTCAGTGTACCGTTATGCCTGGCACGTCCTCAAAAGTTGCGATCGCAAGTTCAGCGTGAACTGGATCCGAGTGCGTGTAACGTTTAACGTGTAACGGGTGCCAATCACAATACACGATACTTCAAGCTGCCATCTTGCAGGCTCTACACTTCAACTTCCCTTCCTTGCCGCCGCTCTGTCGCCCCCCCCCCCAGTCTCGCTACCTGTCTCTCTCGACTCCCACACTCTCTATCGCTTTACGTCGCTCACTGCTGTCCTTCTTCTTGCCGCAACAATGTATTCAGCGGGTAAATAAATAACGTTATATCCTGTACATACATACGTGCATACGTGCTGGCCATCTGGCCTAACGTTTGCATGTGTGGCATCGGTTAATAAATAATAAATAGCACGATCAATATGCTCTCACGCTATTCATTCATATGCAAAATTCCACGCAGTCTGGCTTTATATATACACATACATACATACATACATACAAATACGTATACATATACATATGTATATTCTTAGACCAGTTTAGTTCTTATGCTTGTGTGTGTCCGTTTGCTTAGAGACTCCCGATCGCTTGGGTATATAAAGGTGCCCAAACAGGCCGTAACTGTTTAATTTGCTTTCATTTGTTTATGGCAGGCTCTCCCATAGGTACACCCATACATACATACATATGTGTATACTTCAGCACCCGAACTGCATGAATGATTTGCTCACTCTGCACTGTTCCAGGCCGGAAATGGTTGATCATCCATTTGCCCCCGGTCCTACACCCATGGGCACACAGACAGACAGACAGACACATCATAGCATTATATAATTGACCGCATTTCAATCACCCCCATTAAACGAAATATCAGTAGCATATATTAGTTGCCACCGTCGCTCTCCATTGATAAGTCAACTCATTTTGCCATCTAATTAGACGCTGCACAGTGGGTCAAATGTGATTAACGAAAAATCCCAATTCCATTGGACTCGGGAGTTTTGAGGTCCCTCGGAGCTTAGTCGGGAGCTATATTGGAGCTATCACACTTCATGTGGAGAGAATGATGAATACATTTGTATCCCTCATTTACTGCCACTCTCCCCTCTCACTCAATTTAGTTTCTGTTGATGCATTTGCACCACTGTGCCATATTATTTGATTAGATTGCTTTTATCAATCGATTAGCTCAACGGTTTTTAGAGCCGAGCACAACACTCCATGCCCATTCACATATCATGCTTTGATTGTAAATATCTGCATACATATGTATGTACGTACATATGTATGTATATGTATGTACGTATGCATCTGTGTACTTGTGTTGGTTATCGCATACACCGTCCACTAATCGGTAATACTGTTTGCAGTGCGCACCCACGACTACGATTATCCCGAATCGGAAATGGATGAGCGAGAGAGTCTTTACTTTGACACGATCTCGCTGGCCGATTCGGAGGCAGCGGCAGCGGCGGCACATCGCAAGTCGCTATCGCAGTCCCGCAATACCATTTACCACTCGGCGGTGGATTTGGCCGGCGATGAGACGCGCAACAGTTTAAGGAATGGCGCCATCGCTACGGATCACATGAGGCTCGCTGGCTGGCAGCCGGGCTATCGACAGTCGACGGCGCTGGAGCATCTAAATGGTGATGCTGGTGCTGGTGCTGGTGCTGGTGGTGGTGGTGGTGCCATTGGCGTTGATCATACGGACGCTGCCATTGCTGCCCAGCTGCTGGCATTGCAAAACGGACGCACACATCTGCCCACCGGCATTGGTGTCGCCGGTGGCTATGGCTATAGCCGAATTGGCGCTGGTTGCGGCAGAGGCAGTGACAACGATCATGAGGTCTCTAAGCGCCTTTTAAGACAAAGTAGCACAGTTTCTAATAGCGATAAGAAATTGCCAATTACATACTCCGAGTGGAAGTCGAGGGTAAACAACGATAAACTCAAAATCAAAACAAACAACGCACAAAAATCAACAAACTATCAACAATTCAATAAGCAGCACAAACAATGCAAATACCCTATGTCAATATGTCAATCCATGCAAACATCATTAATAACAGTTATAACAGTTTTCCGTTTCTGATACGCTGCGATTGTATATTGCTATCGCTCGCTCTCTTTCTCTGTCACTCTCACTACGCTAATCGTTTCCAGACATTCGCACAAGTTTCATTTCTCAGCATTTCATGGCAACAGCACACGCACATCCATTTCAATTCCAAGTCGTTCCACTCTTTCTTCTTGGTTAGCTGCGCACTGTGGTACGTTTGGCTTTAAATGCATTTGACTAACATAAAACTGTTTTTGACAGCATCTACATACATGCATACATACATACATATGTACACATGTATGTATGTACATGCATCACATACATACATATGCATCGATTCACACTATATTCGCATTCTTTTGTTTATTTGCTGTGGCTACGTTTTTCACCATTTTGCTTTCTTTCTCTATTTTTCTCTCTTTTTTTCAAAAGTCTGCTTGCGGGAATGGGTAATGGCAATTTTTTAGATATGTAAATACCATATATTAATATAAGTACATACATATATACGTATTCAAAAATACCCAATATACTTTAAATTATACATACATAAATTAAGTTTAAGCTCAGTTGTGATCAAACATACATACATAAATACGTAAGAGTCAGGAGCAGTATCTGAGAAGTTGACTCACTGCGCTTTTGATATCTTAAACGATTAGCAGCTGTATTTACATACATACATTAGTTCTCTTTAAAAGAGTTCCTTTTTTATCTTGCCTGCAATTCCAATAATTGATAAATTTTTACATATGTACATATATGTTATCCGCACAATTTAAAGCGTAATTCTGTTATGTTCCTGACTTTCGCAGTTATATATGTATGTTCTGCTCTATAAATTGAAACATTAAGACGTACTGCAACTAGTTGGACTTTTATGTTTGGCCAGATCGGTTCAGTTATTGAGAATGTTTTGCAATAATTTGCGCAAAGCGGTGCTCGACTGCTGGAACCAAGACGGTTCAGGGAAGGATGTAAGAAGTTGATGCTTGATCAGTTTTATTTTTTTTTGTGTTTATACCATGAACCCATTGAGAAATCAGGGTAGAATTGTTTTGTGAAAAAAATATGTAACGGGCAAAAGGAATTATCGCAGACCCCATAAAAAAAAAATATATATATTCTTGATCAGGACGACGAGCTGGGTCGATATAGCCCTGCCCGTCCGTATGAGTGCGTCGATCTTAAAAGCCCTACTCGTGTATACCATGCGCAGTACAGGTTTGACTTATTTTTTGATAAATCATCCGTTAACTTTTTTTTTATCGAGAATAATCGAACAATTGATTTTGTTTTTTTAGCCTAACTTGAGCACTTTTAGACTTGGATTTCAGATTTACCGTGTATATACACATATGATGAATACAAACATTTTGTTATATACAGATTTTGGAAACCACGTCCCCTTCGCCCCCAATTTGTAAAAAAAAACTTATTTCAAGTACTAGAGACTTATGATTATGTTCTGAAAGTTTCATTAAGATTGTACGTCAGCCGGCAGAGTTCCGGGTATCTCCTAGTCGAGCAGTCTCCACTAGAGCACCCTTACTTGTTTGTTTTTACGAAGCGGCACTTGCACCATTGTATACAACCTATCCCTGATATCAATTATGTACGATATACATATATGTTCTATATATAAATGTCAATCGAGCTCTACTCTAATCTCTGTGAACCTTTCCCTTGACAGACGAGTCGCTTAAAGGATGCACGGAGCGTGGACTTTGTCTTGGCTTACAAAGGCGACGATAGCAACACAACGCACCAGGATGAACGTGTGAAATTCGAGGAATATCTGAAGAGCGAGGGCCTAGTGCTGGAGCCCTATAGTGGTAAAACGGTGCACTTCACCAAAATACATGCACCGATGCAGGTGCTGCAGCGGTATGCGGAAGTCCTAAAGATCAAGATGCCAGTCAAGGAGCCATCCATCGAGGAGAGCCAAAGCGTACCGAATACCTGCGGCGGACTGTTCAGTTGGATGCAGCTAAACAGTAAGGTGTTAACCGAGCGTAGCCAACGCATCCACATGGAATTCGCACGCAAATACCTAGAGCTGTACGATGCGGAGCATCCCAACTACTTTGATGCCAGCACACGGTATTCGATCATCAATTCCATTATGCAGCAAAAGGACATCGAGAAGCTCATCGAGGATGGGGTCTACCTCTGCGCCTATCCGCTCCATGACGTAAGCAATGTGGCGGATATATATATATATATACAGTCGACGGCATAAGTATTTGGAAACAATGTTTTATTCTCCTTTGCGTTCGGCTTTGAAGAAACCGAATATGTTCTTCGTTTATTATTGTAAGTACACTAGTAGGCAGAAGTATTTTGACGAAGTCGTTGTGTGCAATCCATAGTTAAATATAAAAGACTACTAGAGTCTATTGGAACTCAAAATTACAATTTAGTTAAATAAAACCAAAGAAGAGACCATCTCTGAGGACACTCTCCTGATTTCCCATTTGCAATGGGTTCAGGGTATAGTAAATAAAAAGTTCTGAATAAAACCGTTAGAAAGTCATGCTTAAAATATACGAAAATTTGTTCGTCAAAATACTTATGCCGACTAGTGTATATATATTCTTGATCAGAGCGACGAGCTAAGCCGATTTAAATTTAAAAAAAATCGATAATTTCGTTATTTTGTTATCGATTAAACCCCGTATCGAAAATCAGTTAGAGCTAGAGTCGCCAAATTTTAATATGTTAATCCATATGTATTTTATAGCATTTCAGTTTTTATACCCTGAACCCATTGAAAATGGGAAATCAGGGTATAATGTTTTTGTGAAAAAGTATGTAACAGGCAGAAGGAGGCGTGGCAGACCCCACAAAGTATATATATTCTTGATCAGGGCGACGAGCTGAGTAGATATAGCGATGTCCGTCCGTCCGTCCGTTTATGATAGATAGTCATTGCTTCTCACCATAATTATTATTTGTCGTCGCCTGTATACATATGTAATAAATATATTGAATAATATTAAGTTATAAATCAATATATTTCAGAACGACAAACGTGATGTCCTGCTGAAGGAATGGGCGAGCCTACGCAACTGGAAGAAGTAAGCACAGATTTGAATTGATCTAATTTGGCATTCATTAATCCTTCTCTCTCTCTCCCTTTCTCTCTCGTTCACTCTCGCTCTCTCACAGAATGCAGCCACTGGATCACATCAAGGATTACTTTGGCGCCAAGGTGGCGCTCTACTACGCCTGGCTGGGCTTCTATACGCAGATGCTGATACCGATTAGCGTGCTGGGCATAATCTTCTTTCTGTACGGCTTCGTGACGTGGAACAGTGATCCGATTAGCTATGACATCTGCAATGGCAACGAGACGATCATGTGCCCCCAGTGCGATCGTGGCTGCAAGTTCTGGTATCTGAACGAGACGTGCACATCCTCGCGTTTCAACTATCTGATTGACAACGAGATGACGATGGTGTTCGCCTTTATGTTGGCCATCTGGGCGGTGGCCTATTTGGAGCTGTGGAAGCGCTATTCAGCGGGTCTGGTGCATCGCTGGGGCCTCACCGGTTTCAATCATCATGTGGAGCATCCACGCCCCCAGTACCTGGCCAAAGTCTTAAAGTCCGACAAGTTAAAAGATAGGATGGTCGATCCCAAACATGATCCGGATGTGCCCTTCTGGAGCTTCAAGTTTCTGCCCAAATTCACCAGCTACAGCATCGTGGTGTTGTTTGTATGTTCTCTAGCTAACCATTGTCCATTCTCTACATCTATATCTATATGTATATCCGTTCGATTTGCTGACAGATTTGCATATCATTGATCGGCGTGGCGTCCATCATCATTTATCGGATGGCCCAGCGTGCCTCCAGCTCCATCATTGGCAACGAGAACTCAATGACGTACAAGATCATGGTGTTACCCATAACGGCCGGCTTTCTCGATCTGATTCTGATCTCTGCGCTGGATCTCGCCTACAGCAAGCTGGCGATTAGGCTAACCAACTACGAAAATTGTCGCACACAAACTGAATACGACGAGAGTCTCACCATCAAGAACTATGCGTTTCAATTCGTTAACTACTATTCATCGCTATTCTATATTGCATTTCTGAAGGGCAAATTCGTTGGTTATCCCTCCAAGTACAATCGGATATTCAATTTCCGGCAGGAGGAATGCAATCCCGGCGGCTGTCTCATGGAGCTCTGCATGCAGCTGGTGATCATAATGGTGGGCAAGCAGGCGGTGAATGCGATCATCGAGATGCTTATACCATATCTGATACGTGTCTTCAATGTCTTCAAGCAACACAACAAAGACAACAATCAAACAACGGAGAGCAATCAGTTAAATGTAGATTATAATTTGCTGCCAGCCGAGAATAATTCATTATATGAGGAGTATCTGGAGATGGGTAGGATTGGCTAGATCGATCAACTCTAATCAAATAGCTCTAATCACATTCTCTCTCTCTCTCTCTCGCTCTGTCTGTCTCTCCCTTTCGTATGCATGCGCAGTGGTGCAGTATGGCTTCATCACGTTGTTTAGCTTGGCATTTCCTTTGGCGCCGCTTTTGGCGCTGATCAATAACGTGATTGAGGTGCGTCTGGATGCCATCAAAATGCTCCGCTTCATACGGCGTCCCGTGGGCATGCGGGCTCGCAACATTGGCGTCTGGCAAAACATTATGGCCGTCGTCACACACATCTCGGTCGCCTCGAGCGTGAGTAGTGAACCCAAAGACTAACTCTGGAATGCACATACGAAATATATACATATATCTATCTCGTGCAGGCCATGATAATTGCATTTAGCTCGAACTTTATACCGAAACTCGTTTACAAAGCCACCCACGATGATCCCGATCTGAATGGCTATCTGAACTTTACGCTGGCCGCCTTTTATACCAAGGACTACAAGACGCAATCGCTGCTGGATGTCAGCAGGGCGGCCAACGTGACGCTCTGCCACTATATTGAGTTTCGCAACGATCCGTGGGAGAACGCACCCTACAAGCGGCCCATGATCTACTGGCAGATCCTGATGGCCCGCCTGGCCTTTATAGTCATCTATCAAGTGAGAGACTGTCTCTAGATACATGTATATCTATATCAATATAATAATTATGATTTTATTGTTTTCATTGTAGAATATCATCAGCATGCTGCAGGGCATTTTGCGCTGGGCTGTGCCCGACGTCTCGGCCCGTCTGCTGAAGCGCATCAAAATCGAAAACATGCTGCTGCGCGACAAGATCATCGACTATGAGAAGCAACAGGCGCAGGCGCAAACGCATCAGGAACAACTGCAGCAGCAACAGTTGCAACAGTTGCAACAGTTGCAGCAGCAGCAGCTGCGCCTGCGCCTCAATGGCAACAGCGACACTGCAACAACTTTTGTCTAAGACTCAATCGAACCATCGAGATTTTTGCATGCTACAAGTTTTGTTTTTGTATTTTAGTTCATAAGCCTCGTATACATACATATATATATATATATATATATATATCTTATATACTTTTGTATATAATGAATATAACATACATAAAGTTTCTATGTAACGTACTTAACCATGTCCGGTGCGCAATTGCTCGCAACGCAGCTGGTTACGCCCCCACCCTAAAACAAGCAAAAAAAAAAAAAAAAAAAAATCTTTCAGTCCCGCCCCCCCCGGAAAAAGAAAAACCCAGATTAACTTTGTATAAAATTTGTATAAAATGCCAAATTGTTAGTGTTCAAAAGGCATAGCACTATGTATTCTATATATATGTATATATATACGTGTGTATGTATGTATATTAATAGGTTAGATCGCTTTTGGCCCACATTATTTGTACATCTTTGATGATTGCTATGCGTTACACTCGTATTGCATTTTCGTACTAATCTTGTGTCGATCTATATGCATAGGTATAAGTGTACATTACTATAAATATGCATATACATACATATTTGTATGCATATGTATATCTGTGTTTATATCTGCTGCCAAGCCAGAAACTATCAAATTGCGAGTGCCTAGCCTATTTGTATATTAGCAAAAACAACGTAAACAATCCAATGTACCTTATATCATTTACACACACACGCACAGAGACACAGAGAGAGAGAGACACCTACACACACACCTATACAGCCATATGTATAGTACGTGCTGCTTTATGTGAGTTGTTTATACGAATTTGCGTTACGTTCGCCCAGCACAAAAATCCAAACGAACAAACAAACAAAAAATGTTTTATACAACCGAATGTAAAAGTTTAAGAGATGCAGTTAATACAATATATATTTGATTATACTGATAAATATATTTATATACAACAAAGAGAGTTGGAGCGGAGGGAGAGAGAGAAAGGTGCGATGTACAGAATGCTCTAAATATAAATTTACACATCGAATTGTTAACAATTTACAAAAAATGGTAATCAAATAAGATTACAAATGACTTGAAAATGTTAAACAAAATACTAAATAAACACAAATAAATGTAAAGTAAGAATATATTAAAAAAAACTGGAAACTGAAAAGAAGCTCCAATTCTAGAATATTGGGGGGGAAAAGGAAACTGTGGATAAAGGTAAAATGATTTATGATGTTTAGTATATGTATGAAATCATATATAAATATAATATAATAATATAGGTAATACATATATGCAAGATGATCATTTGATGAAAGGACTTTCTTGCGCCTAAGAGCCAGCTACAAACCAGAGCATAATAGAATATACAGTAGAGCTCGGTTACAACGACTCCTCCCAGAGCTACGATGATCTTGCATAACAGACTATATCTATATCTATATCTATATCTATATCTATATCTATATCTATATCTATAT